CAAAAACACACAAAACATGAAATATGCCAAATTAATTTTCATCCTAAAAAAAAAAAATCATGCAAAATTCATAATTTAGCCTTGATTATCATACTAAATATCACTTCACCGTTTTCTGCTATTGAAGCTCGGTCTTTTGGGGAATCAGAGATGGAGTGCACAAACAAAAAAATAAATAAATAAATAAATAAAAACAATGGGGAATGGAGAGACACTCACACACAGACAGAGAATGACGAGACGGGAGACTGAAGAGCACAGTTGGACAAAAAGAAATGGCTTTGGAAGGGGATCAAGTGTAAAACAAATAAATAAATAAAAGGTGTGTAGGTGAAAAGAGTGGGTGAGACTAAAAACAAAGAAGGGAGAGATGAATGTTAAGCAGGGTTCCAGAGAGGAATAGATTAAAAGGATGCAATGCATGGATGAATACAGGAAGGATTGAAATTAGTGTTTTGGCTTCTTTACCCTGTTAAACAGGCGGCTGACCAGTTTAGGTGTTATCACATCTCCCTTGCAGGCTCTGTATTGACTGACTCTGGGGGAGAGAGGGAGGGGATGTAGGGGGACTGTGAAGTGATAATTGGCGATATGCTTACCTGGCGCGGAGCCTGCAACCTCCAGCAGGGCACAAAAACAAACACACACACTCGCACACACACACACACACATTCTCTGCTATTGTTCTGTGCCACGACAAGCTTTACCTCAAACCGCCCACCCTCAACAAACACATCCACACATAAGAAAACACACACTCATGGGTAGCTTGGCATAAGAGTAAAACCAATCCTGAAGTCTCTCCTATGGAATACTAATACGATTGCCCTTGCCAGCTGACCTCTTATAGGCCAAACAGGCTGTCTGTCAAACTAATGGGGCGGAACGCTGGCATATTGCTTTCCCACAATCCCTCAGCAGAGCCGGGACACTCATTTACTTCAGTCAGCTTGTTGCCAAGGCAACATTAAGGATGGTTCTGGTGGTGGATGGACGCACAAACACGCACGCTGCCTCTCCTACGATTCTGTATAGGCACCTGTGTATATGTGCAAACTTGAACTCACAAACAAATGCAGCGCAACCTGTTAAGTGTTACTACCGTGAACTCTTGCGCACACAGACACGCACGCACGCACACGCATATATGAGTGTTGCTAACAGCAGTGAAACAGATGAATTTATGTATGCGGCTGACAGCACTGTCTGCATGCGGAAGGTACACTAAGTGCTCTTTGTCTCTAGTCTCATCTCCATGCTCCAAAACTCTCTCCCTTCATTCACAATACATGCTCTCCTGTTCATTTGTTCTGAAAGCCAAGCAGACAAGCCTATTCTTCTCCGCCTGTATTTTTCTCCGCATCCAGACAAGGAGAAAGCAAAAAAAAAAAACCCAAAAAGGGCTGCAGACACACAAGGACGAGAGCCGAGAGACTTCCAGTACCGGGTTTCAAACTCCATCGTTGTTCTTGAGGATTGATTACAGATGTCATCTCATGCAATTTCAGCCTGAATTTTTTAGCTGTGCAACATTTTCTTTCGTGTTTCCCCATCGAAATGAAAAAATGCAAGTGGATGAAATTTTAATTGGGACTGTGCTCATCTATTGTGCACTGTCTTAAAACCTAAACCAATCATAAGCCGGCAGTGTCTTTGTGGCTGGCTCACATCCTGTGCAATCTGTCCCTACAGACCCAGAGCAGGATCTCTGACAGCAACTGTCTGTGTGTCTGTAACTGTGTCTCTGTTTGATCAGTAACTTGTTATTATGAAACCGGAACATCACAGCAAGTGAGGGTTTTGAATGTATGATCACATGATTTGGTTTGACAAGTGCTTAAAGCTGAATTCCAGATCTCAATTTCTATCTTAATATTTTGCTCATAGACGATTTTTACTTGAAAAGTGTTTTTTTGCTGGCTTCTGTGATTGCTCTGCATGTAACAGGAAAATTACCAACCAGGCAACCTGCGTCTGGGTTCACAAACTTCGTTTCAGGGGTTTGGTTCTTGTGATACCAATTTTCTTTACTGCTTATTGTAATAGAAGTGTGGTGGGTGACCAACGTGCAATCTTCAGAGCTGAAAAAGGAAGCCAGTGTGCCATGCAATACAAGTTGTTCTGAATGCTCAAATATATAGAAGAGTGCTATATAATTTTAAAGCTATATAATCTTGTCACTACATCACGGCTCGTCTCTCCTACATCACCTAAATCCCCTTTTAAGGTAATTTATTGTGTTGCATGCCCGCTGTGTCGTCGTCACAGCTTGGTCACCATTCATACTGGCACTCAATGTTTCCTGGACTTGCGGCAGTCTCCTCCTGAACAACAGATGTCCCCACTCAAAAAAAATCCTCTGCATTATCACTGATACAGAAGTGGAAAAAATTATAACAGGAAGCAAAGTGATACAGTGATTAAAGTCACTTTCAGTATTTGTCGCTGTTCAAAAGGGCCACAACGGTGAGCATAAAGGTGTACAGTCCAGTCGGGAAACTTCACAGGTGTGCAGTTGAAATCAGAATGAAGGCAGAATGCTCATAGATAAGGAAATAAATTCCCCCCATGGAATGAAAATGCTCTGAAAATATAGTATCAAAGCTATGAAATTACTGTTGAGTGACAACACTGTTCACGAACTGCTGACTTATGTGTTAAACTGCACTTAAAACCCCATGGCTACCCTGCTAAATGAATAAGGAAACTGTAGTTTTCATCCTTAAAGATTGTTTACAATGTCTTGAAATGCAGAAAACAGCTGCACGCTGTATCAGTGAAAGCTGATACTTCTTGGAGGCCACATGCCAGTGAAAAAACACTTTAGCGTGCCATTCATCCCAAAGGTACGCACTGACATATGGTGACCTAGAAGAAGAATCTGTGTTGGCTCTAACAATTTTAACAGCATCCATTCAGAGATTAAACTGATATATGTTCATGTCTACATGAATAAATGTTTATACAAAGATAATGGTAACTGTCTGGCTGACTAAACCTCTATCATCTTGGCTTTCTGTTCCATTTAGAAAATCAATCAAAGCAGTGAAATGTTGAAATAGCAGATAAGCTCAGGAATAAATGAGCAACAGCAGCCAGTGGACATAAAAAAAGGTTAATTTCCTGCCCTTGAGTTTGTTGTTGATGCACTGCATCAGCTCAGCACTCCTCCAGATTGAAGTGCGAAAAACAATGTCGACAGGTGTGCGTTTGATCTAACTGAATGACATTTACCCAGGTACCCTTGAGACTGAGAGGTAAAGAACCGTAAAGACCTTTTGTTGCCTCACCTTTGATGGAAAAAACAACTCACTAAAGCTGAATGAATGAATGCATGGTTACTCAGTGCAGAGTGTGATCCTGGCAAATGTAGATGTATAGTAAATGATTTTTGTGTGTGTGTTTTTTCCCCACTTGGCCCTCCGCTTGCATCTGTCGATCCCAAGTGGCCGTCATCGCTCTCGTCTTTCTCGTCTTCTTTCTCTAAGCATCGTTTCCCTCCCTCTCTCTTGTTTGTTCCATTCTTCCTCTTGTCACTACCCTTACCTATCTCTAATTAACACCTACTCCAGGCTCTATCTGCCTTAGCAAACCCCAAAGGACAGAGCTGAAAAGGGAGATGGAGACAGAAAAATACATACAATAAGAAATGAGGGAAATCAACTGAGCAAGGGGGGGGGAAATGGTGCAGAGTGGCACAGAAAGAGAGAATAGACAGATTCAGATGGTGGCTCTTAATGTTGGCTCGTTCAGCTGGTCGGTGGAAATGTTTACAATGAAAACAGCTGCTGTGGTTAAATGTAACTGAATAAAAACATTAACTAAACCACAGTGATCAACATAAACATGCTTTACACGGGCACTAATGCACCCAGTGTGACGCATTCACATGTTCGAGGGCTCTCTAGAAACCATCTGTCTTTGTAAAGCCATCAGAGACCTCAGGACAACATCAAACGACGCTGTAGATCTCGAGGTGCTTGACTGCATGTGTGTGTGTGTGTGGCAACAGGAAGAGTGTGGCATCCATTTTTGTGGCTTGAGCCTCAGCTGGTGTTTATCAGTTAAGGTGGAGCCCGTGTGTGTGTGTGTCGTGTATGTGTGCATATGGACACTCAGGACTTCAGTAGATCATTTCAGGCAAGCAGATGCACGGTTGTAAGCTGACATACGAATGCACATACACGCGAATATACAGACATGCAGGTGCACCACTTGATACTTCACCACAGAGACTGCAAAGAAAAAGGCTGCATGCAGACTAACATACAAATAGGAAGGTTAAAAACGGCAGTGTGAGCGAGCCGGGCTGAAAGGCTAAAGCTGTTTGGCCAAATGAAGACAAAGAAAACGACCACAGGCAAATGCACCAGCACCCAAATTTGCAAGCATTAACAAACACACACACACAAGTTGAGTAAGGTGCGTGCGCACATGTTTTAGTGAATCTGGCTACTGCATTAGCAATACAGATTTATTGCAAGTATCGATTACCCAAGGACGTCAAACATCACACACCCGCAGCAAAGCACTGAGTCAACAATACACTGAAAAATGTTTATTTCCACAGCACTCCACACCCATAAATTACGAACTATTGACTTCACACCTGCAAACACGTAAAAAGCACAGACACACACACAGACATAGGCACACACCCTCACGAGCTGCATGCAAAAGCACCTTGAACACCTGCCACAACAAAGAGCTACCTGCTACCTTACACAAAGAAAAATATAGACAGACACCACACATGGGGCATAAAACACTCGCAAACACGTACACCAACACACACGCACGCACGCTCGCTCGCTCTTTTTGGCTCGTAAATTGCACTGCATCATCTGATTAAAAGAAGTGCGACAATTTTAAATTATTTGGTGTCCACAGACGACCATTTGCACCACAAAGCCATGCCATTAATAACAGCTGAGGCCTGCACGTATCTTGGCAGGCACACAAACATAGACGACCAAAGGATCAGACAGGTGGTAACTTACCTCCACCTCCACCGAGCAGAGTGTTGTTGGCTAAAAGAGAGACAAGAAAAAAGAAATGATTGTGAATACAACTGAAGCGTAATTAATAAGGCTTAAACTGTCACCGCAAGCAATAATTAAAAAGTCGGAGGACACAAAACTAATTAAATTAAGCAAAAATGTCTGTAGTGTATATATGGCGAGAATGTCTTTTCAATTTATGGCTATGTATTTAGCCAGATAAACAGCTAAGTATTACACTTAGCTATTAGATTTCTATTTTAAACTGCAAATAATATTTGAGGGTTGGACTGAAATAAGAACAAGAAGATGTCTTTTAATTTTTTGGACCATACCAACCTGTGATTGCTATTTGTTAAACTGAATAAATACCTGAACAGATCAATAACAAAAATACCCATGAGTTGCAGCCCTCATCACATCTAATATAAAATGTTACACAGGTCTGTGATGAATAGTGCAATCACGTTCTCATTACATCCAGGTGATATAAAACTCCAATTACTACAATGAGCAGATTTCATTTTTTCCCATTATGATTATTCAGTTATTTTAATTGTAAACCGATTACCCCTAAATGTCAAACTGAAGCCCAAACAAACAATACATTTGATGGCACCTCATCCAACAGGAAGTAGTTTTAACACTTGCTTTCTCTGCCTTACCTCTGCATAACTTTTCACTATGATTTGAAACACCTCATTTTGGTTTTAGAACATATTCTGTGCACAGTAGTACATTTCATGGAGACATTTCCTACTTTAGTGTCCAACTGGTCCTAATGAAAATGTACATTCACTACGCACTTCATTAGGAACAACTGATCAACTGCTCATTAATACAAATATCTAATTAGCCAATCACATGGCAGAAAAATCAGTGCATTTAGGGCATGTAGATATGGTCAAGATAACCTTTTGAAGTTCAAACTGAGCATCAGAATAGGGAAGGAAGATGCAGTAGAGCATCTATTAACATCAAACCTTGAAACAGATGAGCTACAATAGCCACTTACAGTGGCTTGCAAAAGTATTCAGCCCCCTTGAACGTTCCCACATTTTGTCACATTACAGCCACAAACATGAATCAATTTTATTGGAATTCCACGTGAAAAACCAACACAAAGTGGTGTACACGTGAGCAGTGGAACGAAAATCATACATGATTCCAAACATTTTTTACAAATAAATAACTGAAAAGTGGGATGTGCCAAGAACAGGAAAACTGAGGGCACAGTTTGCACAGGCTCACCAAAGCTGGTCAAGAGAAGACTGAAAAAATGTTGCCTGATCTGATGAGTCAATATTTCTGCGCCAACATTCATATGGTAAGGTCAGAATTTGGTGTAAACATCGTCAAAGCACACCAGTAGTCCTGCCTTATATCAACGGTTCAGGTTGGTAGTAGGACTGTAATGGTGTGGGGGGAATTTTCATGTTTTGGGCCCCTTTTTACCATGTTCATTCCTTTACCACACATCATCTGATGGCTACTTCCAGAAGATAACACACTATGTCACAAATCTCATATCACCAGATCTCAATTCAATAGAGCTTTCATTTGTGGTACAATGGGAGATTTGTATCATGAATGTGCAGCTAACAAATCTGAAGCAAGTGTGTAGTGCTGTGCATCTTTTTGGATCTATGTCATGACAAATAGGGCCGGAACATATCATACCGTTCACAGTAATACCGGTATAATGTTGGGCAACGATAAGAAAATGAAATATCGCAATAGATTATGGGTAAAACACGCATGCGCAGTGCCTTTGTTTTCATACGCACATGGCGGAAAAAGCATGGCGGCGACGCAGAATGAGAAGGGCGAAAGCGGATTGTTGAATGAAACGGATGAACCAGAATTGGTTTGTAAAAATGGTGCAGCTTCAGTGGTGTGGAACTGGTTTAACTTTCGTCCGTCAGATACACAACAAAGCACTATTTTTGGTAGTGCATGCTAGCGGGCCGTCGATATTACCATGTTTTTGGAAAATACAGCACACTTAAAATCAATCCTTTGATTTTTCTGAAAAAACTTATAATCCCGTGTGCCTTATGTATGAATTCTGGTTGTGTTTACTGACCTCGAAATGATTTTATGTCGTACACGGCACTCGGAAATCTGTCAAATGTTTTAGTACGACTTTGCTAAGCTACGAACCTGCACCACTTGATGGATTGTCGGAGCATTACGGCTATCGTAGGCAGGAGCCTCGCTGAGTGATACGTACTGTGCTTCAACATGATATTACCGTATTATGTGTATAACCTCTTTTTAAGTTTTGTGGATATTATACATGGTTATGCTGAGGATATGTCAGCCAGTTTCCACTGGAAATGCTTTTTGGTTAAACTGTCAGCAAGGATTTTGCATTTGCACTGTTAAATTTTTATATAACTTTAATGCACATAAAAAACAGCTGCTTGTTTAAGTGAAAATACATTGATGGGGTTTTTTGCACTAATAAAGTTGTGGAGTTGTAAAGTATTTTGTCTAGTGTCAGTTATATCGTTATAGCAAAATTTAAAATGTATATCGTGATAAATATTTTTGGTCATATCGCCCTGCTCTAATGACGAATGAAGGCAGGTCTGAAGGAAAAACAAGGTTCAAGCCAGTTCTAGCAACTTGTATCTAATAAAGAGGGTGATGAGTGTATATTAATGCAGGAGAGCTTTTTCTTCAATAACCCTGCCTAAATGCTGTTTGTTTCAAGAGGTGCAACTGATACTTTAAAGGCAAACTGTCTCCATTTCCTGCTTGTGGACGACTGGTTCAGTTTTCATTCTACAAGTTTGGAAATGGAAGAACCGGATATTTCAGTGCATTGAAGTGTACAGCACATCTTCATTCAAAGTGACAGTAAGACAGAGCTCATATAATATCCATTTTCATTAGTACAATAATGACAATGCTATTAAGAAATGAAGAAATACCCTTTAAAGTAACACTGGAAACTTCAAAAACTACAAATGAGTTACAGTTTGTGCATAAATCTAACACCAAGTTGATACTACAACCAAAAACGTTACAAAATAACACAAGCATGACTAGCTACATTGCTAACGTGTTGCACAAGTGCTTTGCTGACATTATAAACAGGCTTCTGTGTGCAAACAAGAGTCTTTGATCGGTTTATGCTTCACCTCATGATTGGTGATCTGAACAACCTCACAGTCATCACAGTGAGTATCAAGCTTCAGTTTGAATTAATTCATTCAGCTACTTGTTCAACAGTAATTCTAATTTTAATTCCTAGTTCTATATTTAAATGAATCTTCATTTAGGTGAAGATAGAAAAATAAGGGGGGGGGGGAGGGTGTTTTGATATTTGTCCTTCTGGGGGGGAAAAAAAAAGGTTTATTGGTGTCAGCAATTCTTCACACGAGTGGCTCTCAGTTTGTGTTTTCAGGGCTTACAGTGCTGCTACTATTTCCCAGCCAGTCAGTTAATTGCATCCACGTGGCATCGCAGGTGTGACTCGGTCCCTGATTAGACGGATAGAATGAGAACCAGCAGGCTCGGAGTCCCGTCAGCGAGGGCTGAGAAGCACAGCACAATATGAACGAGTAACTTCACGGCCCGCGAAGCTAATAAATAAACTCACGCTGAGGCTACAGTCCAAAGAATAATAAGCTACCCTGTGACAAAAAATAAACAGGTAATGTGGTTCAGTTTGTGTTTCACTTATGAAAAAGGAGACCATACAGCGACTTCCAACCTGGATAACAAGGAGGTGACTGTAACTTAAACAAAGTAAGAATATAATGAGCTCTTTTTGCAGCAAGGTAAATGCTGAATAAATACTAGTATCTATGAGTGGCCAGTATGCTCCAAATCATTCCTTACTCGAATCAAGTCACTGCACATGCTTGTAAGTGTAAATTGCTGGCAGGGTGATAATGCTGGCTGTGGCTGCTTTTGACATATGTGATACCCAAGTGTTTTTCTCACCCGCATATCCATGAACGTGTGGACTCAGCAGTGTTAGCCTGAGGACATCTGCAGCGCTTCCAGGAAACCGTACCATAAACTCATACAAATCAAGTTTCTTCTTTTTCCCCCTATGCTCATGCATCCTATTTTGGTTGCTGTGAACATGTTAGGATAATCTGATAAGCACATAATCGTTCTGCGAGGGACAGTTTCAAAGTTACGTATGAACACACAGGGGACAGCTCTCATTTTAGCTAATCCTTGCCAGGAGGCATTGTGCCAACTGGGTACGCACTGAGACTGTACATGAAGCAAGCTGGTTTTTAAGAGAGCGAGGAAGAGAAGCTAAATCCCACAGATGTCTTTCCTTCTCGAGGATTCTCTAGTCTTCGCCGTTTTCACCACCCCCCATTGCCTCATTAATTGTAAATACCACTTAATTTCACCCTTTAAACACAGCACACTTCCCTGTATATGTCTCACTAAGATCTCCCAAAGTGACTCTCTCTACTCTCTATCAAGTCTTCTTAGGAAAAAAAAGGAGTTTAATGTGACAGTGTGAAACTGTCTCAGGTGCACAGCTTGTCTAAGAGCTGATAGATCGAATGATGAACCTGAATAAAGCTCGTTCAGATGGAAAACCTCCGACAGATAAATCATCTCCATTAAGTCACCCGTTCATCATGTGCTGATTAGCTGCAGGCTGTACATAAGGCTTATATCACACACTAGGTCTTGTTAGTACTCGTCTGTGTCGACTAACATGCCCCGGGCCATTTGAAGCCAGGACTCCTGAATAGTGAAAAGCTTCCTTTCTAAAGAAAAACAAATCTGCCTGAAGGAGACAGACTGCAGCTCTGACAGGGAGAACTGGACCAAAACTACAGTTATCGGTGTTTTACTGGTGCTGAAGTGAACTGGTGAGCCCGACTGTGACATCAGGATTTGCTGGAATAACTGATTTTGTTTACCCACAGTGGAAACTTGTTACAGCACTTGTTTTAGGCTGATTTGGTGAACTTGTTAGCAAGACACAGAGCAGTTACCGAGCAAAGTAATCACCTATAATTTGTCCGTTTCCACCCTTTTGA